AAAAAATATCACTGGTGATAATTTTTCCGTATAGAAAAAAAAATATTATCACCTGGTGATCATTTTTCTGTATAGAAAAAAAAAAATTATCACCTGGTGATAATTTTTCTGTATAGGAAAAAAAATTATCACCTGGTGATTATTTTTCTGTACAGGAAAAAAAATTATCACCTGGTGATAATTTTTCTGTACAGGAAAAAAAATTATCACTGGTGATAATTTTTCTGTATAGGAAAAAAAATTATCACCTGGTGATAATTTTTCTGTATAGGAAAAAAATTATCACCTGGTGATAATTTTTCTGTATAGGAAAAAAATTATCACCTGGTGATAATTTTTCTGTATAGGAAAAAAATTATCACCTGGTGATAATTTTTCTGTATAGGAAAAAAATTATCACCTGGTGATAATTTTTCTGTATAGGAAAAAAATTATCACCTGGTGATAATTTTTCTGTATAGGAAAAAAATTATCACCTGGTGATAATTTTTCTGTATAGGAAAAAAATTATCACCTGGTGATAATTTTTCTGTATAGAAAAAAAAGATTATCACCTGGTGATAATTTTTCTGTATAGAAAAAAAAGATTATCACCTGGTGATAATTTTTCTGTATAGAAAAAAAAAGATTATCACCTGGTGATAATTTTTCTCTATAGAAAAAAAAGATTATCACCTGGTGATAATTTTTGTGTATAGAAAAAAAAGATTATCACCTGGTGATAATTTTTCTGTATAGAAAAAAAAGATTATCACCTGGTGATAATTTTTCTGTATAGAAAAAAAAGATTATCACCTGGTGATAATTTTTCTGTATCACCTGGTGATAATTTTTCTGTATAGGAAAAAAAATTATCACCTAGTGATAATTTTTCTGTATAGGAAAAAAATTATCACCTAGTGATAATTTTTTTTTTTTCTGTATAGGAAAAAAATTTTCACCTAGTGATAATTTTTCTGTATAGGAAAAAAAATTATCACCTGGTGATAATTTTTCTGTATAGGAAAGACAATTATCACTGGTGATAATTTTCTGTATAGAAAAAACAAATTATCACCTGGTGATAATTTTTTTGCATAGAAAAAATATCACTGGTGATAATTTCTCTGCATAGGAAAAAAGTTATCACCTAGTGATTATTTTTCTGTAAAGGAAAAAAATTATCACTTGGTGATAAAAAAATATCACTGGTGATAATTTTTCCCTATAGAAAAAAAATATCACATAACTTTTTCCTATAGAAAAATTATCACTGATGATAATTTTTTCCGGTTGGATAATTTTTTCGAAACTTTACCGATGTTAAAATTATTTTCAAGCGAGTGATAATTTTTCTTGAAATCTTACTTTAAATAAATTATTTTTATTATTCCTTCATTATCACATTTGCCTCACACTTTTCCTGTTTACAAGATCCGAACAATTCAATTCAACATTCTTGGCATCCTTGTATATCGTTCCCATGGCCATTCAGCTTTAGGCAATACATCAAGGAATAGAACATTTGCATTTCAACTGTTTCTACTCTGGCCAATGGCAAAAGATGCTCATTGCCTTCTTTCTCTCTGCCATTGGCTCTCTCTTTCCCTCCCTCTCTTCCTCTCTCTATATGTAACTCCATTCAAATGGCAGCAGCTACGCTTTCCAAAACATGAAATGAATTATATCCTGCAATATTTTAACTTTGGCCTGGAAAAATTCTACTTCTACTTTGCCCGACGTTGAGCAGATGGACGGACGGACGGACGGACGGATGAGTCGTCAGTGTCAGCTTTCAGATGATTTGAAGAAGACTTGCTGTTGGCCTTGCGAAAAATGAGAAAATTTCCACTCTCAACAACTATGCAACAATCATGTACGCGACAGCCAACATACCATCATCCTGGCCAACTGTCCATTCAACCATCCATCCTGCCATATATCCATCCAACTAACCATTTATCCTCCATCCACGGAACATAACCATTGCCGTCATTTAGATCAACATTAGTTGCACTCAGAGCATATCAAATTGTAGTTGAGTTTTTATCATTCGTTTAGAAATGCAGCTTCCGCAAATGAACGGGAGGAGGGTGGGGGGAGGAAGTCCTAGATGCAGATACCAGTGGCATTCTAAACGTCCAGCTGCTCTCGTCTACACCACCAAGAATTTTATTTGAATATTTGTGTTCAAATTTCAAGGGAGTAATAAATCTCTGAATTTTTTCCATCTCCTCATTCCTGTGGTGGCGAGGAAGGAAGAGACAACAGGCCAGAAACACTTCAGCTCTCCGGAATCACGAATGATAGTAACCAACTGCCCGTGCAGCATTCACTTCAGACAACTGGTGTCCTTTTTTTCCTACCTCTGCTGCTGCTGCAACAGCAAATAAATGAAGTTGGAGCGCAAGGATGTTTGCCTGCCACTGGGTAAAACTTCTCCCAGAATGCCTGCCGGCCAGAAGAACTATGTGTATGGTGGTTAGTTAGTTACTGAATAAATACGGAAAAACGAAACTACACAAAAGTTTAATTCAAAACTAGGATTTTTTCTCCAAACTTGTTTTTTGGCAAGGACCTTCAAAACTTACCGCATGATAATTGGCACTGTCTATGGAATAGTTGACCAAAAATGAAACGAAACTTTGTTAACCACAATGAGTTAACAATATGGCTTAAATGGAAAAATTAACCACATCCCAAGTAGACAAGGTTAAATAACCATGAAGTGGGAGAGAGAGAGAGAGCCAGAGAGGGAGCGGGAGCGAAAGAGCAGATAATTTAAAGTTATAATGATGATTAGATAGGAAGTTGAACGAGGAAACTTTAAATGGAGCAAATTGCACAATTTATCAGTGATAAGTTTATCACCAGTGATATCTTTTTCCTAAACAGAAAAATTATCACCAGTGATAATTTTTTTCTTCTATACAGAAAAATTATCACCAGATGATAATTTTTGTTCCCATACAGAAAAATTATCACCAGGTGATAATTTTTATTTCTATACAGAAATATTATCACCAGGTGATAATTTTTTTTCCTATACAGAAAAATTATAATTTTTTCCTATAAAGAAAAAATTATCACCAGTGATAATTTTTTTTTTCCTATAAAGAAAAAATTATCACCAGTGATAATTTTTTTTCCTATAAAGAAAAAATTATAATTATTAAATTATAATTATTAGTGATAATTTTTATTCCTATAAAGAAAAAATTATCACCAGGTGATATTTTTTTTCCTATACAGAAAAATTATCACCAGGTGATATTTTTTTTCCTATACAGAAAAATTATCACCAGTGATAATTTTTTTTCCTATACAGAAAAATTATCACCAGTGATAATTTTTTTTCCTATACAGAAAAATTATCACCAGTGATAATTTTTTTCTATAGGGAAAAATTTTTCTATAGGGAAAAATTATCACCAGTGATAATTTTTTTCTATACAGAAAAATTATCACCAGTGATAATTTTTTTCTATACAGAAAAATTATCACCAGGTGATAATTTTTTTTCTATACAGAAAAATTATCACCAGGTGATAATTTTTTTTTTCTATACAGAAAAATTATCACCAGGTGATAATTTTTTTTTTCTATACAGAAAAATTATCACCAGGTGATAATTTTTGTTTCTATACAGAAAAATTATCACCAGGTGATAATTTTTTTTTTCTATACAGAAATTATTAGTGATAATTTTTTTTCCTATACAGAAAAATTATCACCAGTGATAATTTTTTTTCCTATACAGAAAAATTATGATAATTTTGTGATAATTTTTTTTTCCTATACAGAAAAATTATCACTGGTGATAATTTTTTATTTCTATACAGAAAAATTATCACCAGTGATAATTTTTTATTTTTATACAGAAAAATTATCACCAGTGATAATTTTTGTTTTCTATACAGAAAAATTATCACCAGTGATAATTTTTGTTTTCTATACAGAAAAATTATCACCAGGTGATAATTTTTTTCCTATACAGAAAAATTATCACCAGGTGATAATTTTTTTCCTATACAGAAAAATTATCACCAGGTGATAATTTTTTTCCTATACAGAAAAATTATCACCAGGTGATAATTTTTGTTCCTATACAGAAAAATTATCACCAGGTGATAATTTTTTTCCTATACAGAAAAATTATCACCAGGTGATAATTTTTTTCCTATACAGAAAAATTATCACCAGGTGATAATTTTTTTCCTATACAGAAAAATTATCACCAGGTGATAATTTTTTTCCTATACAGAAAAATTATCACCAGGTGATAATTTTTTTCCTATACAGAAAAATTATCACCAGTGATAATTTTTGTTTCCTATACAGCAAAATTATCACCAGTGATAATTTTTTTCCTATATAGAAAAATTATCACCAGTGATAATTTTTTTTTCCTATACAGAAAAATTATCACCAGTGATAATTTTTTTTCCTATACAGAAAAATTATCACCAGTGATAATTTTTTTTCCGATACAGAAAAATTATCACCAGGTGATAATTTTTTTTCCTATACAGAAAAATTGTCACCAGGTGATAATTTTTTTTCCTATACAGAAAAATTGTCACCAGGTGATAATTTTTGTTCCTATACAGAAAAATTATCACCAGTGATAAAAAATTATCTCTCTCTCCTTAAAATATAGCCGTTTTCCAAATTTTATGCAACTTTTTGCTTTAATTTTTAAGTGGCTGCCTTAAATCTTAAATCAATATTTGGCACTCACTTACCACACCATTTCTCTCTAACCCTCTCTCCCTCCCTACCCTTTCGAATACGGAAAATTATTTTCCTAACCCCCTTGGCATATTTTCATTGACATTATTTACACTTCATAAAGTTTGCAATCGATTGAACATCTCGCATTTCCTTGCCATTTTGTGACAATATAATTGCAAGCCAACCACTCACTGCTGCTCATGGCTGCTAAATGGTCTCTTGGAAACCCCCAGCCCCATCACATCATCATTGCCATTTCCACTTCTTTACTTTGTCACAACACTTACCAATTGCCATTGCCGTTTCTTGGGCATCGCCCGTCACCATTTTCACCCGAACACCGCTCTGCATCAACAGCTCGATGGACTCCCGCACCAGGGGCCGTGGCGGATCGGTAATGCCAACTAATCCACAATAGACCAAATCTTGCAGATTCTTGCCTTTGGCCAATGCCAAAACCCGCAATCCTTTACGACCAATTTCATAAGCTTCCGCCAAAAATTCCGCTTCATTTTGCTTCGTCAATGGCATCGTCTGCGAGCCAAACTTGTATTTCGTGCACTGGGGCAGCAGCATGTCGAGCGCCCCCTTGGCAAAGTAGATTTCCTCCTTGTTGTTGTTGTACTTGTGTATGCACTTAACGGCCATCATCTTTTGCTCCGACGAGAAGGGGTATTCTTGGATGCGTACATAATTTTCGGCGGTGGCATACATGCCATTCTTCATGGCCGCTGCAATGAGGGCACCCTCGGTGGGCTGGCCCAGCAGGGTGCCATTTTGGATGTAGGCATTGTTGCAGACCGCACCGATTTCCAGGAGATTGGTGATATTAGACTTGGCCATTTCGACATTGTTGCAATTGCGTATGTGGATCTCACCCTGGTCATTGTAACCGGCTCCCGTGACATCAGCCATATAGCCATCGGAGGTAATGATCACGGTGACTGTCATTTCATTTTTGGTGAGGGTTCCCGTCTTGTCAGAGCATATGACATTGACACAACCCAGTGTCTCCACAGTGGGCAGCTTCTTGACAATGGCATTACGTTTGGCCATACGCATTACGCCCAAGGCCAGGGTCACGGTAACGACAATGGGTAGACCCTCCGGGATGGCTGCCACAGCCAGGGACACAGAAATGTTGAACATTTCCGTCAAGGGTTTACCCTGCAGCCAACCCAGCAGTATGATGACCCCTATAATTAGGAAGGAGTAGAAACTCAGCTGGGCCCCTAAAATATCCATGGATTTTTGTAGCGGTGTCTTGGGTGCCTCCTCGGCCTGCATCATTTTAAAGACCTCACCAAATTCACTGCGCTCTCCTGTGCTCACCACAATACCCTTGCCATTGCCGCATCGCACCAGGGTACCCATAAAGGCAATATTTTTCATGTTCGTGTGGTCCTTGTTGCCCATGTTGTTGAGCAACATATCGGTACATTTGCGCGAAGGCTCCGTTTCGCCTGTAAAACTCGATTCGTCTATGGACAAATCAATGGCCTCGAATAGCCTGACATCGGCCGGCACCCGATCGCCCACATTCAAATGGACAATATCGCCCGGCACCAATTCGCGTGCCAGAAATGTTTCCAAGCGCGATTCGCGCAAGCAGTGGCATTCGGGCGGTACCAGCTTCTTTAACTCCTCCAGACTTTTTTCGGAGCGATATTCCTGAATAAATGCCACCGTCACCACAATAATTATGGCTATTGTTATGCTGACCGCATCGTCGTACTGTTTCATTACCACCGACACCAGAGCGGAACCGAGCAGCAGGAGAATGAGAGGATTCTTAAATTGTTCTATATACTTCTTCCATGTGGGATCTTCTTCGATGACATTCAGCTCATTTTGGCCGATGATTTTTGCCCGATACTTGGCCTCGGTCCATTTGAGGCCGGTGCGGACATCGACCTGTAGTCGACCCGCCACCTCAGAGGCACTGAAAGTGGATGATTCTGCGGTTGTCAGTAACATTTCGGGGGTAAGTGTGGAACCCGTCTGGAAGAGAAAAATAAGGGGACAATTGTTAGAGGGTTTGGATAAGAAATTTTAAAAAATATTTAATTTAAGATTAAAAAAATAATAACGAAATTGATAATGATCCAATGATATTATTACAGATTTCGATTATAGCCTAGACAGTTCCCTTTCGAATCCAAGAAATTTCATGAAGATCGACCAACTACATCAAAAGTTATGACCCGAACAAAGCATGACCAAAATTAATGCTCAACATCTTTTGGACGTGTCTATTTAGAGCCATATCTCTGAAACTTGATGAGCTATAGCAAAATGTCCAAAATACAATTTAAGAAGCAGGCAATAACCTTCAAAACTTAATTTAAATATTGCCGATATAAAAATTGGTTCAAAAGTTATGACCTCCAAAACATTATGACGCAAAAAAATCCAAAAATGTGCGCGATTGCATACCTTGGCCAATATCTCTGGTATTTTGGGAGTTACACAAAAATTTTAAAATGTCATTTTCGATTAAGAGAAATTCTCTTTAAAAATCAACCTAAATATCGGAGATACACCGGATGGTTTAAATGTTACAGCCTCAAGAAGGCATGATGAACCATAAACAATTATTCTCACCTGCATTATATCAGCCATATCTTTGGTATTTGATCAATGCGAAAATGTTTCCCATATCTCAGAAAATGGCTTTTTACACTCAGATTATATCCTAGATAATTCATATTTGAACCTAAGTTACATCACAAAGATCAAACAACTACATCAAAAGTTATAGGTCGAAAATGCTTGACCATAAATTTACACATACTTTCCTTTGGAATAGTTTATTTTGTACCATATCTCCGAAAATCGATGAGCTATAGCAAAATGTTCGAAATACAATTTAAGGAGTAGGCAATACTATTTAATAATCTGTTTAAGTAATGCCGATGCATAAAGTGATTCAAAAGTTATGGCCTTAAATATATCATACGCCAAAAGAATTCCAAAAAAATTGCGTGCTTGTATGTCTAGGCCAATATCTCTGGTATTTTGGGAGTTACATCAAAAATTTTAAAAGTGATTTTAAATTATTTTCAATTCTCTTTAAAAATCAATTAAAATATTGACAATACACCAGCCGGTCTAAATGTTACAGCCTCAACAAGGCATGACAAACAAATTAAAAATACCCATATGTACATCATTTTGTACATATCTCAGGTATTTGAAAAGTTATGAGAAAAATTTTTCTTAGGCTTTCTCAGCGTCGACATTCCTCTTAAAAACTCAATTAAAATATTATTAATACAAGATTTAGTTCAAGAGTTATGACTACTAACAAATAGTAACGCAAAAAAATTCAAACATTTGCGTTTTAGCATATTTTGGCTTATATCTCGAGAATTTGATCAGTTATTTAAAAATTCTAAGAAACTAGTTCCAAGAACAGAAGAATCTCTTCAAAAATCCATTTTTATGTTGACGATCTACCAGTTAGTTCAAAAGTTACGGCAAGATCAATCCATGAGCAAAATACAAAATTTTGCGTAATTGTAATTTTGACCATATCTCAGGAATTTACTCAGATATAACAATTTTTTCAACTACTGATTTAAAGAATAGACAATGCTCTGCAACGGGCGATTTGAATATATCCAATACAACAACCAGTTCAAAAGTTATGGTCTCTAATTAAAATCATAATAGAACAAAATTGCAAACATTTCGCCTTAGTATATTTTGGCTTATATCTCGAAAATCTGATTAGTTATTTAAAAATTCTAAGAAACTAGTTCCAAGAGCAGAAGAATCTCTTCAAAAAACCATTTTGATGCCGACGATCAACCAGCTAGTTGAAAAGTTGCGGCAAGATCAATCCATGAGCAAAATTCAAAATTTTGCGTAAATGTAATTTTGACCATATCTCATGAATTTGCGCTGATATTATAAAATTTCCAAATACGCATTTAAAGAATAGTTAATAATCTTCTAATATTAAATTAAATATTTCTAATACATGCACCAGTTCCAAAGTTATGGCTCCCAAGATAGCATGGAAGAAAAAAAATTGAACAGGATTGCGCAACAATATATTTGGGCTCATATCTCAGGAATGTGACTAGTTTCATTAACATTGCTGCATACGAATTTTTGTGACAAACACAACTTTTCAAAAATCCGATAAAATTTAGACAATACTTCAAAAAGTTCAAAAGCTATGACCCCAAAACATTTGGCGGAGAAATTCTCAAAAGTAATGGACATTAGAATGACATTAAAGGAAATATTTTTGTATATCTTTAGTATTTTATTAATTATATGAATCAAATTTTTAATTTTGGTTTAAAGTCGATAATCTTGGCTTTCAAAATCAAGTAGTTTTAATGAGAAATGTTGATTTCTTCCGATGATATGGCCTCTTGAATACGATTACCGAGACAATTTTAAAAACAACAAAATTTGTGTTTCTTATATTTTCCTAATATTTCGGAGAGTTTATGAGCTATTTTCAGCGATTTATTAATTTATGTTTAAGAGGAGCATTCTTTTCTTCCAAAAACAAATGATTTTATGGAGATGCGTTGACTATTTCAAAAGTTATGAGCACTGCACGAAACTTACGAAGGAAATCATTAAAATTAAAATACTACAGGCGTCACATATATTTTCGTTGGATCTCGGGCATTTTATTAGATATTTTAAAAAAGTTTTGAATTTTGGTTTAATGGCAGAACTCTTAGCTTTCAAAATAAAGACATTTCTTGGAGATACTCAGACTATTTTAGAAGATATGACTTATGGAAAAGGTTTACTGAGAAGGTCTTAGAAATTAAATCAAAAGTATCATATCACTTATATTTTCGAGAAATCTCTGAAATTTCAGTAGCTATCTGAACAAAATTTTCTATTTTGTTTTAAGATAGTATTTTTGACTTTCCAAATTTCCAAGTAGTTTAATTGAGATACAGTGACTATTTTAGGAGTTATGGCTTTTAAAAATGGCTTACGAAGAAAATATAAAAATAAAATAATGACATCACTTATATTTTTGTGTTATCTCAGACATTTTATTAGTTATCTGGACTAAATTTGAAGTTTTTGTTTAAAGACAGCCTTTTTGGATCTCAAAATAATGTGGTTGCAAATAAATATATTCAATATTTTGGAAGTTATGCTCTCTACAGGAAACTTGCGAAAGAAATTTGAAGAATTAAAAAAATGACTTCCATATATTTTTGCCATATCTCGGGCATTTTGTGAGCTCTTTTTAGGAAGTTTTAAATTTTTATTTGAAGGCTGTATTCATGCCTTCCAAAATTGAGAAGTATTACCGAAATACATTTATAATTTCTAAAGTTATGGCCTCGACAATTAACATGCGTACCAAAATTTTTTTTGAATTAAAATGGATTTCCTGAAATTTTAGCTGTATCTCAGTTATTTATGCAGTTATATCAAACAATTTGTATGTGATTACTGAAAGCCAGTCTATTTGCCTTTCAAAATCGGGAGATATTTTTGTGATCTATAGTTTACTTTGGGAGTTATGGCTTCGAGAAAATGCATACGCAAATATAGAGGGTTTTTCGCAAATTCGGATTATTGTAAATTATTGGCGATAACTTTGTTAGCTAGTGAGCTATCTGAATATAATTTTTACCAGTTAAACAGTACGTGTTTCTCTTCCAAAATTCGCAAGGAGGATATTAAAAGAGGGGTTATAGGGGAAGAAAAAGCTTGAATAATTTGTAGATTAATTGGATTGGATTGGATTCTTAATTCGGACATCGGCAAATTTTTAGAGATATCTCTGTAATTTGGTAAGCTATCCATATATAATCTACATTCATTTAAAGGGGATATTTATGTCATATAATAAAAAAGTGGGAAGTATTCCTAGAAATGTCCTTTGTCGAAAAATCTTGAATGTCCTACCTCTCAAATTTATTTTCTATTGAAATTTCAAGTTCCCTCCGTTTTTTTGCCTTCCATTCCCTCCCAATCTTTTCCACGACGACTTAATTAAAGTCTAAACTAAATACTCATTTTAATACATTAATAGAAATGTCCTGGGCTGCCAAAGCCCCGAAACAGCAAAAAAAAAGGATAATTCCCTTATACCTGTATGGCAATTTGTTGCCCTTGTAAAACTTCCTGCTGTTGTCTGTGGTCTTGAATTTAATTAATTCCATACATTATGCGGGTAGGAGGCAAGGGTCTCCCCTTTGAGCAACAGGAGCTACAAGAGAACAAAATTTGTAAATCTACAAGATAAGGATGGAAGGTGGATAGACGAAAAAAAAAATTGGAACTCAACATTAACATCAACAATGAGTTGGTTGGTTTTTCTTCCTTGCCAAGGATACGAAATGTTCGGACTCTTTCTTTCACTCCCTTTTTCTTGCTTTGAAAGAGTGAAAAATAATCATCATTATTGCAATGTTATTGAAAAGCCGGCAAAAGACGCTGGGGGTATGGTCAACATGTTGTAATTACCCCAACTGATGGTTTGTCAGCTCATCAGTCACCCAGTCGGATGGTTGGCTGCTGATGGTGGCTAGCACAAAGTGTGGACCAAAACATTTGGCGGGTGGCAGTCTGAAGTAGTTTAATTTTGAGGGAGAAATGTTGGAAAACGTGGTATGGTGTTGACAGTTAAACTGAAAAGCTGGTCGGTTGAATGGTTGGTGGTTGGCTGGCTGGCTGGCTGTCAGAATGTTTGGAAGATGGCTTGAGTGCTACTTTGGCTGGCCATGACGACTGTTGATGGCTGGTTGGCTGGCTGGCTATGTTGGCCATTTTGGTTGTCTTCTTGGCTAATTTTCAATTGTCATCACAATGTGCTGCTTGTTTTTCCAAATTGCTGCCCCGCTGTCTTCCCCTTGCCCCACCGTACCCCCACCCATTTCAATGTATTGCTGTCATTTACAGAAACATTTTATTTCCTGAAAATAATAGTTTTTTTCCCCCACCAATTCAGCTTTTGTCTGTCAAGCATTTTGTAACTTTAACACAATGGAAGGAGGGAGTGG